TTTTATAATCTTACCCTTTTTGGTGTAATTGATTATTTAACTAAATTAGTATCGTGATTGTTAAAGCCTTCGAAGGAAGCAGTGTGCATATTGACATAAGAGTAACACGATAGCGTGGTGCCTCTGATGTCATAAAGTAGGTTCCAGAATGTGTTCTCTTTCATAATAATCGAAATGTATAAAAGTGAAGCATTAATTATAATAAAGTAACCTAGACATAATGATATTCTCTCCTTAATTTCCTACCATCATTAAGTCGCCATAATAGAATTGCCATGCCTTATGGAAGCCTTTTATTATTCAATCCACATAACTTCTAGTAGTGGTTGGAACTACACTGCGTATTTATTGTGCGTCACTCTCCCAACCAACCGTTACAATCGCTACCCTGAACGACCAATTAGAATGCAAGATCAGGTGTAACATGAAATCGAAACAAAACATTGAATTTTCTGACAAATTGTTTATAACTCAAGAATTTATTTATTAAACCACTTCTTATATTCTGATTAAAAAAATTCCTTGCAAAATTTTAATTTAAAATCCTTTTTTTTAAAATTTACAAATAGCCTTAGTCTAATTATAATACATTGTTATTTATTGTTTTGATTTTCACGTTATACTTGATATTATGGGTGGTGATACATCGCATAGGTGAAACAAAATAAAATTCTTACATGGATATTAAAATGTTTATTGATTTTTATATACATTGCATAAAATGCTTCAATAATAATAAATTGCTTCTTCAATGGAAACAAGCTTGGGTGCTACAGTGTGTTTTTCAATGACGACAACAATTTACCTGATTTTTTTGAATTAGCTTCTTTGGAATGGTTTCTTTTAGAATCGAAAAAATAAAATTAATTTCATATAATAAAATTTATACCAAAATAATAGTATTATTTATAAATTACTTATAAGAAATAGATTTCTTTTTTCATGACTTTTATTTGATTCATAGTTGATATTACAAAGTTATAAGAAAAGTAAAAAAAGTATTAAAAAATAATGCAAGATTAGCATTAAAGATTGGAAGAAAAGTGAAGTAAACCATATCAAATTGGGTAATAAAACTTATAAACTACAAACTATAAATTTCTAAACAATATGTTAGATAAAGCTTTATATAGAAGGCAACCAAAGCAATATAGTGAATGAAAGGAAGAAGTAAAATCAAATAATAATAATAATAATAATAATAATAATAAAAAGAGAAAGAAAACAACCAAAAGTAATTGTAGCTAAAGTGTGTATAGATATTTATAATAGTTGTACATGGGTAAGAGTATATAGCAAGATTTCAACAAATATGAAAAAAAAGAAGATGCAGGTTGAAAAAGAACAAGAAAAGAAAAAAATAATATTTACTGAAGCTCATCTTTATGTAGAGAAAGATGTTACAAAAAATTTGGTTCTAATCAGATCGATCTAATTTATATTATGTGAATTGCAATATACAACATCACCTTTTGCTCAATAATTACATCTTGATAATTTATTTGTTACTACATTTTTTATGAAACAACAATTACTTCATTTTTTTTATTACCAAATTTTACATATTTTTTCTTTTTCTTTCTATTTTTGCATTCAATGAATGTTTAGTAATTATTACTTAATTATTACAATAAATTGCTTCATAACATGCACATTTGTTCTTAAATTAATCATAGCAATTATTGTGCAAGTGAAGGAAAACAAAAGCATTTAAAGACCAACTTTCGCCAGAAAGCAAAATATATACACATACATATTATACAGTATAATAAATGCTTAACATTTTTGTTCTAAAAATAAAAATTGCTTGCTGCTAAAATAAGTAACCTTAATTATCATGCATTATACCCAATATAAATCCATATAACTCTAAAATAACGTAAATACTTGCATAATTAATAATCATAAAGTCTAAATACAACATAGTTTACCAAAGTTGTACACACTATAAGTCCTAAAATCTTTACGGATTATTAAATCATTAAACGTATGACTAGGAAAGCAGTTAGCTAAAAGATTATCTTTGTATGTCTATGGTTTAAAGCTAAATTTAGACAGGATTAGAAATCTCTTCCCAAACCGTTACAATATCAAGATCAATATAGAAGCGATTTTTATAATAAATTACTGTATCAGCATTTTGATCTAATCAAAATAGTATTACATGATTGATTGACCAATCAAATTACTGACTTACAAAATTTTTGGATTTATAGATTCAAGAAATATGTTAGAAAGCAAAGTGCAAGTTTCTTTTTTCTTAAAGAATTTTTATATTTCTAAAAAATATGAGCCTTTCAAAAAATACGTTATCAATTGTATAACATCTTAGTGTCTGTGCTGTATACATTTTTATAAATCTGATTGCTTTTTACATAGCATTCTTCTAAATTCCAGGTCAGAATTTTATCGATGCTGAGCTAGCATTAAGCAACAGCACTATGTCTGCATTTTTAGATCTGTTACAACTTAATTTCAAAGCTCCTTTTTAAATCTCATATACAACATATTTTTCCTGTTTCTTATTTCGCGCAACTGATATTATTCAACTACTTACATAATAACTAGAAAATTAGTATTTAATAGGGATCTTTGAAAGTTTATTTTTGAAAACATTTATGGTAAATAAGAAATTTTAAATTTTTGTGTGATGAGTAGTCGCAATAATTAGAAAAATACAATAAATACCCATTGTTATTTTTTGACCAATACAGCAAAGATATCATTAAAATATTATTATCTGCTTAGCAACAATAATAATTATCATAATAATTTTTCTTTCACAAGAAATATATCAATGAATAAAAAAAAATACAATTACAAATCATCGAAAACTAGAAATTGATTTTTAACTTTCGAAAATGCTAAGTGTAAAGAACCCTTCTTCGAATCATTTTTAAGAATACGATCAGGTGCAAACAAATATACTTAATATCACTTTATTTTATAATATAGCGAATTGCCCATTTATTTTTCAACAAACCTTTTTCTTCAGACATAAAATTGTCTTTGCTTGCTGTATGATTTGCAATTGATCCACTATTAACCTGAAATGCAAATAATATTTTCCTTGAATAGCACCAAATAAGAAAGTCTACACCAGGATAATTGGCAGACTGTAGAAGAAATAGAATATTTCAATCCAACGTAAAATCTTCAGTGGGTACATCATTTCCTATGAATTTGACAATTTTATATAATTCAAGTTTTAAATCAAATGCACTGCTTTGGATTCTTCCGGATTTTCTAATTGAACAAATTAAAGTGATTCTTATATAATATTGAATTCTTCCTTTAGTGTCATTTGAATACTCTATTATTAAAAACAGTTGATACGAAATCTCTCAATTCGTTTAAAGGATGATTGGAATGAGCATCAATTATTGCTTGTTGAGCAAGAGGATGAATAGCGGTAATTATATCTCTTTTTGTATTCTCATCCTCTTCTTTGTCAAAAACACATGTTTCATACATAAATTGACGATTCATGCCAAAAATCATACTAGGTTTAGTACTTTTAAAAATCATGGAGATAACACACTCATTTAGGCTTTCCAATTCACGTGGTGACAAGCTTTTTTGAAATATTTGATGACTCAATTTTATTTCATGTCCTCGCTTCTTCAAATAATTTGAGGTCTTCTCCTCTAAATCGTATCCATCTGTCTTATGCCATAAATCCAACTCCAAAGGATAGGAATTAGTCCAAAACCTTATAAAATCCAATTGTGACTTAATTTTTGGATTTTCATTTACTTTATAATTACGCATTTTGCACCATTCCTCGAACTCTTCATAGTTATAACCACCACATATAGAGTAATCTTCCCACGATTTGAATTCATTAGGATATGCTTCATTATTAGCAGATGCAGAAACAATAACAAGACCAAATGTTTTAAGTAAAGTCGGAATGCTTTTCACCAACGTAAATGGATATAAATCAAGGGCATTATATTTGTATAAAGCATTATGCTGATCAAATACCCAAATCCAGTAATATCCTTTTTCATTAACATAATTCACTAATTTTTTGATGAATGATCTAAATCGGTTTTCACTAATTTAAATTTGAATAATATTAACGTTTAAGATGTTTTAAAAACTTAAAATATATTTTATTAAAATTACGTACATTGAATTGCTATTGAGCATCCTGAACTTGTTGACCCATGCAGAATGATCTGTTTCTATTAGTTTAAGTTTTTCGTCTAAATTATCTGTAAGGCCGCAAGTCACAAATTCAATCCAATCGGTTATATTAAGCGGGGATAATTCATCATTGTTGAATGTACATATTAACTCATTAAGTAAGAATTGGTATGGTTCATCCTTATGACTTAGCCACCACAATTCACAGCTATTGATATATGTTACCCTAAAATTTAAATACAAGCGCAATTGTGCAGCGAGGTAATATATGCTGTATGACTTTCCCAAACCAGAAGGCCCATATATATATAAACCTCTAGATTCATTATTTTCGTCAATTGATTCTATAACTTTTTCAAAAAGTTCAACACAATTTCTTCTACAAATGAAAGATAGTTTTCCTTCTCTAATGTGGAATCGATTTTGAAATTGGTTTTCGCTTAATTTTGGTAGATTAATAATCTTTGATTCTTCAAAATTGACGACAATCTCATCTTTTCCAACTTCAATAAGATTTAAATCACTAAGAAGACTCATGAGCTCATTATTATCTTTCTTTGTTTTTTGAATAATGTCATCAACGGTGTAAATGATAGAACGTTCTTCTAACTGCACTTCTCCAGTCTTTCTTCTTTCATGAGCTTTAAAAATAAATTTTTTTTTTAAGTCTTCCGTAATGGTACTTTTCAACTTTTTTTCGACTGTACTACTTGACGACGCTTCATCATTATCTAAAAAGTATTCGGATTTTTTTGATTTAGATTTGGTTGTCCTTTTCTCTTGTGCCATATTAAAATTCGGATTAACTGAAATTGTAACATTATAACGACTAAAATTTTAGCCTGAAATAATATTATTCCAGTTACACAAAAATCTATGTACTACGTACGTATTGTCATATGAGTGTATTTTTATAATTCAAATATGTCACCTGAATTTGCATGTGATGTGGATCTGCGCCGTCACTGTTACATGAATGTAGTGACTTGCGGGAATTGTCATCATCACAGTCCTTAATATACCAACCCTTAACAGCATCACCTGTAGTTGCTTCACCCCTAATCATCACTAGGGATGGGACACTGCGCAGGCGGAAAAATTCGGAAGCCCGGAAATTTCCGGAATGCGTCAGAATTTAAGAATTTTGGCCCGCATTAGCTTTAATGCAGGCCCGTGCAGGCTGCGCAGCCTGCGCAGCCTGCGCAGTAGTTACGAAAAATCCTCGATTTTCCCATCCCTAATCATCACTCTTATTGTCTAACTAATCCTCTATCAGTTATAAAAGACCCATTTCACTTACTATATGTACGTACGTATGTATACTATTGAAACTTAAAATAATCTATTACAGAATTTAGTTTAATATATTGGATGATCTTATTCCGCATTAATATAAAGTGAGTGTATGTACGTACGTAGTTTCTTTTACTTAGTTCATATGTTTTGATCTTCTACGTGCAAATTCGATCCATGATTAATTAAAAAAATGGCATCGAATAATTCATTGATTCGATTCATGATACAATTACTGTGGCCACGATTATAATACTTAGTATGTTAGCTTCCTGTTTTTTAAGGTGTTTTGAAAAGAAAAAAAGAAGCATTTTCTCTTATAAACAGGTTTGACGATTTCATATTTTTATCTATTATTTTATGCCCTTTATCAATGCAATTCAATGGTATACACATTATACAATTTCTGCTCAGATTTATTTTATTGTAGTATGGGGATTTTGTTTTAATTTTTCTAATTTCTAACTATATTATTCTGATTAAATTTTGGAGGGCAAAGATGAAATTATGCTTTACAGGAAAAAATTATGTATTCACTTTATTATCATTTGTTTGGCCATCTTATTATGGTATGAACATTTGATGCTTTTTGCTGGTGATGTTGAAATGTTTTGCGCTGACAATTTTGGGCTTATCAAATGCAAAATTCTGAAATTATCAAACAACGCGATATTTATTATAATTATATTGTTAAATTGCTTACCTTTAATTTATTATATTTATCTTAATTGATCTTCAACAAACCATAGAACTACTATTACTGACATAGTTAGATATGTTCGTATGAATTATCGAATTGTCAATGGCATTTTTACCTTTTTCTATTTCAGTATAATTAGCATAATTATAGTTACCATCTATCCAGCCGTTATATCAGTATATTTATTTAGCACTAATTTTACGACTACAATTCTGTCCATTTGCAATTTATCTATTAATAGATTAGTCGAACATTTTGGAGATAATGAACCTAAAAAAGTAAATACAGCAATATCTTTTTATTTGAATTTGCGGCATGTGTTTGTAATTGAATCTGATAATATAGAGGGCATAAAAGATTATTTAAAATATAGAATAAAAAAATTAACGAAGATAGAAGATAGAGTAAAGGGAATAATACAAAAGAAGAAAATAAATATCGTAAAAAAAGCATTAAAAATCTTAATAGATAAAGTTGCAAAAAAAGGGGAAATTGGCAGATGTAGTAAAAGATGTAATGACATTAAATACCAGATAAAAGATTAGAGGATGAAGAGGCAAAAAAATTATTGCAGATGAACTAGAAATAGAAAATTTGATAAAAAAAAACTAACCAAATTGTTAGCAGACGAAGGAGAAATGGTTGATGAAACTGAAGACGTAATAGAAACACAAAATTCTCAGATAAAAATACTAATAAAAAAGGGTGTGAAAAATGTTGTAGATAAACTAAAAACCTGAAAAATAAATTAACCAAAATGATAAAAGAGAAAAATAATAAAACTACGTATAATCAACCATATTATATTAACGATATTAGCATGGGTCCTTTTGCTTATTCTCCAAATCATCTTTGGAAAGTAATAAATCAAAGAGATTTTGGATTATTAAAATCCATAGGTGGTCTCATTGCTATTATAGAGGGTTTACGCACTGATTGTACTAATGGTTTGAACGCAAATGAGGAATCTAAACCTTTAGCACCAAAGTTCAGAGATGAATTTCCAAATGTGTCTGGTTATGAAAATATTCTAGATGAATATCCGGACAGTGAAATTAATTTCATGGACAATATTCCGTTCTCTGATAGAATAAGAGCTTTTGGTAAAAATGTTTTGCCTGAGGATAAAACTAAATCATTTCTTGATTTTATATAGTCGGCTATGCAAGATAAGGTTTTAATATTTCTGACAATTGCTGCCATTATTTCATTGTGTCTTGGTCTTTATGAAGATTTTAGTGAAAACGTTACCATTAAAATTCAATGGATTAAAGGTATTGCGATCATTATTGCAATTTTAATTGTAGTATTGGTTGGAAGTTTGAGTGATTGGCACCAGGAAAAACAATTTAGAAGATTGAACGCAAAGAAAGAAGATCGTAAAGTTAAAATTATTAGAGATGGTTTGCCCACCTTATATCAATTAATGATATCTTAGTTGGTGATATAGTTCAATTAGAACTTGCTGACGGAATTTTGATTTCTGGTTATAATATTCATTGTGACCAAATCTGATGAAACTGGAGAAAGTGACTCCATAAAAAATTTCCATATGATATTTGTGAAAAAAAATTTTTCTGACACTGATTTTAGAAATTATAAACTTGACCCTTTCATAATAAGTGGGAGTAAGGTATTGGAAGGTATTGGTACTTATGTCGTTACTGGCGTTGGAGTAAATTCATGCAGAGGAAAAATTCGGACATTACGAATTCTTATAATATGTTTGATATAAATTTCTTTGATGCTTAACTTTTATAACTAATTTATTTCTTTGTTTAACAAAGCTTTAACTACTAAAAGTGAGGATACACCACTTCAAGTTGAATGACCTTGCTGAACAAATCGCAAAATTAGGAGATGCTGCTTTGTTAACGCTTATTGTTCTTTTGATTAAATATTTTATTTCTTTCCGTATTAACGGTGTACCACTAGCATCAGAAGCAATAAATAATTTAGTAAAAATAATTATTACAGTGGTCACTATTTTGGTAGTTGCTGTACTAGGAGGCATACCTTATGCTGTAAAATATGGTTTTTCTAATTTTCTTCCCCATAAATTAGCTCTTTAATACTTGTTATACATTTGACATTTGTAAATTATTTATAGCTCTTGTATATGCAACATCACATATGTTAAAGGATAATAACCTTGTGCCGTTATGTCATCCTGCGAAATAATGGGTAATATTACTGCCGTATGTTCAGATAAGACTGGGACATTAGCACAAAACAAAATGGATGTCGCGACTGTAACTATTGGATTATCAGATTCATTTGTTAAAAATTCCGATTTTTATATGAAGAATCTCAAATATGAAAGGATTGAAAAATATATTATCCATACAAGATATAAAAACATTACCAGAACAAATTTTAAACATTTTATATAAATCTATTGCAGTAAATACCACTGCTTTTGAGGGCGAGCCAAAAATTGGAAAACACAATTTTATAGGATCGAAAATAGAGACTGCTTTGTTACAACTTCTCTTGGGTTTAGGCGTAAATTACAAACACTTAAAAGAGGATGCCAAAATTATACAATTTTATCCGTTTAGTTCCGAACGAAAAGCTATGAGTCTTGTAGAACAGGAGCGACCGTCAAGGTTACACAAGCTGCCGATAACCTCCGGCCATCAGTCAGCCAATCAAAATTTCAAGGGG